GTGGGGTTTATTTTAAAATAGCTACCTATTGTCCTCTGCATGGTCAAAGGTTGCTGAATAGCTTTTTAACCAACCAGTCAAAAGCAGAACTAGAAATTTTCAGAACAAAATTTAGGCCCAGGTGCTTACAATGTTGATGAATTTTCAAGAAATGAAAGGTACAGGTGTTGTAGGAACAGACAGACAACCTGACCTGAAAATTGCTTCTAGTTCCCCCTCTAATGATCATGTGAATTAAGTTTTTTTTTATTTTCATCAGGCAGATAGAGTTTAATTATTAGAGTCAGCATAACAACAATATTTTACATCTTACTGTATTATTTAGTATAAGTTTTATACATTTATGATGCTTCTAAGATCTTTATATTCATGATATGCAACATGTTATGAGATTGACACTTTCTTCACATCATGACTGTTAAGTTCAAGCATTTCTTGAAGAACTTGCATCTTCTGTTCATTTTTCCAAGAAAATATTTTAGTTTTAATTTGAATAGAGAGGAAAAAACCTTCGTAAGTGCAGGAGTCAGGTTAATTTCTTACAGGTATTCTGTCATGGAAATGAGGGGTTTATGGAATTCTTAGACACTACTCTGGGTCAAGCAGTCAGCCTTGTAGACTGTCCATGTTAATACAAAAGTAATGAAGCACTGCCAGCACTCATAAAAGGCAATTTGTCACATCATATCTTTCCCTGTGTGGTAAAATGCTACAATACATTTCTTTAAGAGAGAATGGAAGCCCAGTGTCTCAATCTGGACATGCACCATCTTTCCAGTACCACAGTGCACAAGTCATGATAATCTTAGTTAACGTTCAGCATATCCTTGTGAAGGAGAATAATGGTGTTCATGGTGCATATTAAATGGACTGCCAAGTGCTCCACAGACAACTGAACTGTGTAGATTGGCAAGACAAATATTGCCCCATTATGGTCCAAAAATAAAAAGTATAGGGGGTACTGTTAATTGAACTCAGAGCTGAAGCTCCATTTCATGATTCTTGATTACCTTTGTTTGCAGTCCCTTGTGAGAGCCCACCAGGCTGGGAAGCTGAATCAGAGAGCAAGGGCTGGAATTTTGTTCCTTTAAAGGTGGTTCTGGGTACCACCACAGCTTGCTGGGTTTGTGCCCCAGTGTGATCACTGCTAAGATCCCACAGCTGGCCCAGGGGGCTGTATGGCACTCAGCAGTGCCCAGCTCCTGGCTATCAGTGCTGGCAGAGCTGCAGCTCACAGATCCAGAGCAGATCTTCAAGAGCTCTGATGCAGAGAGCTTACGTCCAGAGAATGGAATCTGGGATGGACAGAGGGGCGCGGGAATGTTTTCCAATTCTCATCCATTATTTACCCATCAAAATATTTTCTAGCATTAAGGGTTCCATATTATCTGTCTCTTGCATTAACACTTTCCTTCTAGAACACAGCCCCCCAAGGAGACAGTGATGGGTGGTGCCAGTGGTGCTATGTTTAAGGTTGTCTCTGAGAAGTGCCTCCTCCTCCAGAAGGGGCTAAAAAATGCATCTCAGAGCCAGACATTTCTCTGTGCCTTCCCATCCTGGCCTTCTGGTGATAAATCCCCAGGTCTAGTACTAAATGCAATGCTGTCAGGGTTAGGAAGATGTGCTCTCTGAGCACATGGGTGGCACCAGGCCCACCAAAATTAAACACATGAAGTGAGCCCAGCCACAGAAGTCATGCTTATGTATATACACACTTGCAGGATGCTCTGTGCATCTATAGTTACCAGTGAACACTTCAGCATTTATTTAGACATCCCTGGAATCATGCCTGTGATGTAGGTCGTAAATTAGTGAGGTGATTAATTGCCTTTTGAGGTTTTGACCCAAAGATGCGATATACTGCTTTTAGCGGATGTGTGAAGGAATGAGTTCAAGTCTTCCACCTCTCAGTCTATTAAAATCTTATCATTAAATTATCTTTTCTTCAACCAAGAAGTAGGAGTCAGGTGCTCTGCTTTCATTTCTGCTGGGATTTCAAACGTGCTGCTATTATGTCAAGTTTTTGCATTTGCAGTAAAGCTGGGTACTACAATTCCCTCAAAGGAAATTTATTTTTAACCTTAAAAGATCCACAAAAATATAATGCCAATATTACCAATATAAAACCAATATTACTTCTTGGTTGGTTTGTAGGTTGGGGGTTTTTGTTTCGTTTGTTGGGTTTTTTTAATTTTTTTTTCCCTCCATACTTTGGCTAGTTTTGTTGAGCTTGAGTAATTACATTCAGGAGAGGTCAGAGGTGAGGAGAGATGGAAATTTTTTCATTTAGCAATGAAAAAAATGTCTGGAAAAGTTAATAGAGCAAAGAATATAAAAGTATTAATTAATGCAGCAAGCATTTCAGGAAGAAGCAAAAACCTGGAGAAGGATTTTTGTGGCTCCAATCAGGTATCAGTTCTCAATGACCACTCACCTGCAGTCGTGTGTGGAATAATGTATTCAATTCTGTGCACAGGGTAAACTGAGCAACACAGCATCCAAGGAAAATGTTCTGAATGGGTTGGCTTTTAGATCAGACTACATATATCATGTATCAAGAAAAAAGAAAGGAACTAAAAGAGTTTGGGCTTGGGTTTTTGTTTTGTTTTGGAGTTTTTGCAGTGGTATGGAAATGTAACTAGGAAACTAAAAAATAACTTTCTGGAATAATCTTTCCAAGGAAAGAGATGCCTTAGCCCCACAAACAGTTATGATAAAAAGTGCAATGGCAGCATTCCCCACTGATGATAACCATAGGGTGAAAGAGGTACCTTTGTTCCATTCTCAAACTCCTGGCTCTGGAAAATTGGGAAGCTTAAGTTTGGAATGTTGGCACTGCAGACAACAGTCTGATTTCTGTTACAAGAGGGAGGAAAGGAGAGAAATAGCAGTATTCTGTTTCTCCTTCCTGATTAGAAAGGTCAACAATAAAATGGAGAGTTGGATGCTGGAATGGTTATGTTTGGGATTCTTTTCCTCCAAAATTAATATAAAAAATGACCTGGAGCTCAAAAGGGCAACAACATGAGAGAATCCTGATTTTCCAGTGCTTGATGTAACAATGAAGCGCTGCTTTTGGCTTTGTCAAAACTTTATGGAAAAAGCCCTGAGCAACTGAAGCTGCTGTTTAATCTTTCCCAGTATGAAAGGAGGATGCAGAGCTTGCCACAGGCATCACCTAATTCAGCATTTAAAGATGTGCAGTAAGGAAAGCCTGCTTTTAATGCATTGCAATGAAGTGTCTGCAGATAAGAAAAAGACTGGGAGGGAAGTTAAGCTGTTGCTTGTGATTTCTGGTTTTGACAGCAGGAAGAGACAGAAGTAACTTCTCTCTGAAATCATCCAAACTGTTCCCGATTCTTTCTGTGCCTTTTGCAAGGGCAGCCATATAAGGCAGCCCAAAGGGAGGGCCCCTGCCTTGCTCAGGGTGGGACTTGGGGAGCCGTGGGCAGAGCCGGGCAGCAGCTCCTCTCCTGCATCTCTCCAGGGACTCCAGGGTGTGCAGCAGCCGAGGGACACGCCTGGAGAAAGTAGGTGCTGATTGCCAGCTGCTTTCAGGTTTCTGTGTGCTGTGTCTGTGGGGTGCTGTGTGGGGATGGAGCAGCCCAGGGAAGGTGTGCCAGGCTTGCAGCTCTGCCTAGCCAGCCTTGGCCAGGCAGCCTCAGCACCCCAGAGTGAAGAGATGTTCTTAGAGGTGCTTCTCAGGCTGACTGGGATGTAGGGCTTTGTGCTTTAATGTTTGCACCCTCCAGCTGTGCATTAAGATAACTGCTGAGGGAAGGGATGAATTTCTCTCTTTGCGCTAGCACCGATGTGGAAATGTGAACTGATGCTCACCTTTCCATGAGCAGTGTTAAGAAATGAGCCCTGTGTAGGAAAGTCATGTTAAAATGTATACGTGTAAATACTTTGTGGTATAACTTGGAGGGCTCTGTTCAGATGTAGTGCACTGGGAGTTCATTCAATACACATGAGGAGCTTTAAGCAACAGCAAAAAATAGGCTTAATTTAAAAAAGGGAAGGGGAGTGTGAAGGCTGAAATTGTCTGTCTAAAATATTCTACGGAGACTAAAGTAACTCGGAATGTGGGGTGTAAGAAATAAAGCAGTTCAAAAAAAGACATCCACTCTCAGTCTTACAAAATTATTAGTGTTGCTGCAAAGAAATTGCTGCTCTGTATTAGCAGAAATTGAATTCTGCTTTATGAAATACATATTGATCTAGAAGAACCCTATTGTCTTTTCTATTTTGTCTAGGTACTTGTTTGAGAGTAGCAAAATTAGGTGCAAACATGAAAGGGCTTGGAGAAGATTGAGGATCAGGCCAGGAGCCTTTGATATTTTCCCTTGTAGCAATACTAAACTTCCAGTATCAGTTATCATTAATGGCATCCTCCTTTTTACACTTGAGAAAAGTTGTTCCAGAGTGCTGTGGACTGCAAGATTGGGTCCCATGAGGTGACTGAAAAAATTTATTTAAGTCTTAAATTCTTCCTGTAATATTGATGCTTTAGATAAGTTCTTCTGAGGTGTAGGTGTTGAGGGTCGAAGCCTCATTCAGGAGTGTTTTGGCCAACATTTCATTTCTAATCAGGGCCCTTCAAGAACTGCTCAGCTTAAAGTAATCTGGTAGGATCAGCTCTCTCTGCTGCTGCACAAGTGTTGCACTGTTAAAATCGTTCTAGGCTTTCTTTTTAACAATGTAATTTTGAAATTCATTTTCTTTCCTTCCTCCAGAAGTCTCAACCTCTTCCCTTTCCCAGACTCCTGTTCCTTCTGTTGTCACTGTCTCATAGGTTTTTCTGACTTAATTTCAGGGGATGTGAACGGCAGCAGGTGACAGACTGGAAGCTCGCACTCGTGTCACAGAGAAACTCCATGATAACAGCACAAAGTCACCTTATCACCTGCTGGAGCACCTTGGGCACAGAAGACATCCAATCCCTCCTTCATGATTTTAAATATTGATCAGAGACAGCAATACCTGAGTGCTGCTGCAGGATGTCCCGTGGTGGTGCAGAAGCTGCTGCACACCTGCTGTGTGACCACCGCGGGCAGGATCAAGGCTGCTCCACTCTCCAGCTGAGCACTCTGAGTGGAAACAGCAAATCTGCACCGTTGCTGGAAGTCAGGGGGAACCTCAGCACCATGCAGTACTCTTCTGTGGCACTGAATGCAGAGCCCTCCATGGAAAAGGGAGCTGGGATTGCCCAGAGCCCCGGGGAAGGCACAAAGGCTGCAGCCTGCTCGGGCAGCGGAGCCGGCAGGGCCTGGACCGTGGAGTGCTTCCAGAGCCAATATCTGACCAGAACCAGCACCCAGGGACAGGTCTACAACTTCCTGGAGAGGCCCAGTGGGTGGAAGTGTTTTATCTATCATTTTGCAGTGTAAGTACCTACATTTTCACATGATCTTTCATGTAAGAAAAATCTGAAACTGCCCATTTAATCAGCCAGGAATCAGTACTTGATCTCCTGTGCTCAAAACCTGTTCCATGAGTAATCCTCTCAAGGCAGTGGAAAAGCCAGTTCCTCAAAGAATCAGCCACTATATGCATTATGATTTCCAGAGAAGGCTTTTTATTCTTCAAATGATCTTTGTTTTCAAGGATGTACATGTATATTTGGAATTTCTGAGGATAAGTCCTTCTGTGCTCCTGGCACATCTGATTGCTGGTTGAGCTGCTTTACACTGTTCCAGCTTCAGACACTGCAGTTTTTAGCAGATGTGGCAGGTCCAGCTGTGATGAGACACATTCTACTCTTTTAAGTTTGTTTTGCTCATGTTAAAGAGCCAAAACAAGTAATTTGTCAGACAAACATATAACATTACTAATTTGAATTGATTTATAGTCGTGAACATGAAATGAGTACAAAGTTAGTGAAATGTTTTTCATTATACCATGTATGTAGTATATGCAAGGAGGCAATTAAGGCTTCCATTTACCCTTGTAAAGCAGTGGTTGATATATTAATCCAGCTGTTACTGTTTTCTTTGGTTGCTTATGGTATCTGTCAAGCTTAGCAAGACCTCATTACTGTTCTGAATGCTGCTGAACAGAAAGATAATTTGTCATCTTGGCTGTAGAAAGAGTCCAGTTGTGTTCTCACTGGGACCAGAGCAAGTTTTACTGACCAGCTGAGCCAAAAGGCCTTGCTTTTATTATAAACTTAGCATATTTCCTAAAGAAATGCAGAGTGTTGAAATTACTCTGTTTGTCTGAGATAAACTATGGCCTGATTGCATTTTAGAAAAAAAACCATTATCAGTGACTGCAGTCAGGAACTGCCCAGAAAAACATATGGTAATTCTAGGGATGAACCCTAATGCTTCTATTTAGCATAAAATAGTCTCATTAATACTTGCTTCCTTTCCCTCCTCAATATCATATATGTATTTTTGAAAGGATTTTTTGAATAATGAAATTTCTCCGAGCAAAAAGATTAAGCCTCCTTCGAGGACTATGCTTATAGCATGCTTTATTCCTAAGAACTAAAAAGATGTGATTTGTGTAGTTTTAAATATATGAATAGTCATGATTTAAGCCTAGTTGAGACTACTAATCTTGCTAAATTTCATTTGTTTCATCATCTGTGTTGCTTTGATCCCCAACTGAGGTTGACCTTTAATATGCACTTTTTTATTCTGAAATGGGAATTAAAATAAAATAAAAATATTTATACACCCCCTCAGTACTAGAAAATTGGAGAAAATACTGGTAATACCAATAGCAACTGTTTTTTTAAGGATTCCTACCATTTACATGAAAGAATATGTAAATTGAGTGCTCTTAAAAGTTATTTGTCTTTGAGGCTCCTAGAAAGGAAACATTTGAAACAGCTTTTGGCAAGCATTTTGTCTCAAGGATATTTTTGCTAATAATTATCCCAGTAACTACATGATGTGTTCATTTAAATAACAAGTTTCTGTTTTGGAAAGAACATGCCTTATAAGATTATATATCATTACAGCAAAACATTGTTAAAAAATAAACTACTAATTTAAAATACACTTAATTTTATAATTACAACAACCTGTAATTTATTTTTAAACAGCTTCTCGTGTTTTATGTGTGGGTTTGGAGGTAACTTAAGTGCAGCTGATTGATGGTGATGATTATGATGATTTGTTCTTTTCCTAACAAATCCAAACTTTAAAGTACATGGCTGATATTTGTGTAGCCTGGAGGAGCTGGATGTGCTGTGTCCCTTCTGTCCTTCATGTGCCACAAAGATCAGACAATTTATTTACAGACTTGGGGGAACTTTCTGTCCAAGAGGGACTGGAGTCTGCTCTGATCTGGAGTCAGTTCTGCTAGAAAGAGCCTGACTTTCCAAAGCCAGGCAAGGTGAGGGAACAGCAAGTGCTCCAGGAGGTGACCTCTTCTCATTCTGAAATTACCAAGATAATCGCTGATAACACTCGCAGAAAGTTTCATTTAAGGGATAAGCTCAGGGTTCTTATAGAACTTTATAACAGTGGTAGGGAAGGGAATTATTTTTTGCCTAATTAAATCTAGAACTTGTATTATTTAGTGGAGTTATTGGAGTTTTAGTGGAGGTTGAATTATGGTTTCAAAACAAAATGTTTGAAGGGGTGAGTGGGTTTACTTGAGAATCCCTCCTGCTGGTCTTGAAAACCTTCTCATTTGGATAATTTCTAGTTTAGTTTTGTGAAATACTTCACTTCCAAAAAGCCCAGTAGAGTAGAGGATTTAGCAAGAGCTGAGGCCTTGAGAAGAAGCTGCTCCATGAACTGACAATATATTGATCCAAACCAAGCAATTCCTGTGGCTGTGTGAGAGCCTTGGGGTGTTGGAGATCACCTGTGTTAGAGCCCAGCTATTTGCTGTGAGTTCTCAGTCCAGAAAAAGCAGCGTGTGCCTGGCTTGGATTAACTTCTAAACTCAGCTATGCACTTGCTTAAATCACATCCAAATGTCAGGTATTAGGGTATAACCCTCATATTTTGAAATATGAAAGAAAAATACAACTTGTATTGGTGAGGAGTTATTTGTGGCAATGACCTTACTTGGCAAACCTACACATTTAAATCATTTCATCGCAGGTGGAGTCTTACTTATGTGATGGATATATTTGTGAAGCCTACATCCATTTAGTGCCTGCTGGAATGGCTCCACTGCGGGCTGGAATGTTGTGTGCACCTGGCTGGCTGTCACTTATCACTGTTCTGTGAGCCACAGAGGCCACCTTGTGTCAGCCCGAGGTGATGTCGCAGTGTGGCTTCCAGGCAGGAAACCCCGGAGTATTTTCCCTCTCAGTTACACCCTGCTCCAACCCCCTGAGTCCAACCCCCTTTTCCTATCTTTTCCATTTCTCTGGAGCATGCAGAGACTGTTCATTTTGGTCTTTCGTGCTGCTCTTGCCTGGGTAGATGAATTTTTCACTTTAAAAGCCAGAGACTTAGAGGGAACCTGGGAAGTGAGGGAGCAGGACAACTGGCTAACTCTTTCAGCTCTGAGTGTGGTGAAAGAGGGAGAAAGAAGAACCTGGGATTGAGACACTGAGATCCACGTTGGTTTATGGTGGAAGCTGAGACTGGTGCCAGTGATGCTGAAACTGGAGGAAAACAATACAAGAGCAGAGTAGCACAAGAACAAAGATAATCTGACAAGGGAAAGAAGAAAGACAGGTTGTGGATATCAGAAATCTGCATACAGGCACAAAGGGGACAGCTGAAAAGGGTCAAGAAGCTCAGAGAGCCACTGGGAGGAAGAGGGGTAGGACATGACAGCTGGGAGCTAGGGAAAGCGGGGGTGTGGAATTCATGATGGGACAAGGAACCTTTCACCCTTAGGCAACTAATTTGAATTTTGTCCAAGTCAATAGTTCAGTAAAAGAAGCGGTGGTGGCTGTGGGGAGATACAAAAGGAGCTGTTGGTCCCAGTCCAGCTCCTAGCAAATGGATGTCACATCAGCCCTGGAGTCAGCACAGCTGGAAGGGCTGCTGTCAGGCTCTGGAGAAACCACAGGCTGGCTGGGAGTGGAGGCAAGTCCAAGGCAAGGGGGAGGTCCAGGACAGGGACTCTTCACTCTGTTCTGAGCCCTGCCATTTTCTTGCTGTGTAACACTGCAAAAGATTCAGTGAGAACTTGCAGCTGTTCCAGGTCGCTTTGTGCTGGTTTGGCCACTTGTTAAATGAGTGTTAGACCGCGCTCTCATTCAAAAGTTAGACCAGCCTTTGTATCCCATAACCTCCTTTGGGATGAGGTGAGCTGATCTACCAGCTCATTGCTAGCAAGCCAGCATGGGTTCTGCTCCCCTCATTCACCTCCAGCACTCAACTTGCTGCTGCCAGCTCTATTATCCTTTGATACTTAAACTTGGAGTTAACTTGGATAGCCAGTTCAGCTTCTGGCACCAGCAGCAGCCTCTTAACCCAGTGGGAAAGAGTGGATGGTCTTCAGTCAGGTTAGTACTGCACATGAAGCACCTTGAAACACTTCCCCACTCTTGTTTTCTCAGTGGATCAAAACTACTTGTTGAATTTCATATAAAATCGTGCACAATAATTGCAAAATAACATTGCAAATCATCTGGCGAGTACTGCAGACCACCTGGTTTGACTGCAAAACATTTAATAAATGCAGATTTTGGGTATTATATAAAATACAGTCTGCCCTGCAGGCTGCCTTGAGATTTCTGGGGAAACAACTCCTCCAAATGGTGACTTGGAGAGGGTAGTATCTCTTGCTCCAAAATACTCAATGGGATGCTGCCTGTCTCTGAGAATTGTGTGGTAGACAGGGAAAATGTGTTCTCTAGAATATGGTTTCCCAAGAGCTGGCAGGGTGATTTACCAATGCCAAAAGCTCTTGGTGCCCCTCTGCCACCTTCCCTTCTTCTCTTCTGGACACACATTTCTGCTGCACAACTCGTGTTTCTTCTGGCACTCACTGGAGCCCTCCTACGCTTCATCAGCTCCTTGCAATGGCAGGAATCTAGATCAGCAGGAAATGGGGAGCTTTTGGGACCTTCAGGAGTTGCAGCATGTCAGCAAGTGGTCTAACAGGGCTGCAACCAGCGCTAACACAGTTGGCCAAGGCTGGAATGGAACTAGGCAAAGTTCCCTTTCTTTTTTTCCTTTTTTTTTTTTTTTTCCCCAACTGAGACCTGTGGTGTGGGCTCAGTTTTATATGAAAACATGCCCTAGATTTACTTTGTTACCCCTCTCCTCTTCCAGACTGATTCCCACAGCTCCTTCAAAGAGAAGCACATGTGCATGCACACGCAAAAACACACACACAACAACACACACACAAAAAACCACACACACACATGTACCTGATCCTGGCATCTTGTTGAAAAAACCTCAACTGAACAGTTACTTCTGAATAATTAAAAGTCCATGATCCTTACGAACATGT